CAAAACGGGGTTGGTCACAACAAAACAGGTGAAACACTTTAACACAACTTCATGTGGTGGAATTAACACGACGAACAATCAGTGTGGTTTCAAGTCCCTCCTTGTCACTGCTCCGGCTTGGGGCACGTTATATGACTCATTGTTTTGACAGGTTTCAAAATACCTGGGGCCCAGGAAAAGTGCAGAAGGCTTCAGCGGCTTGGCGTGGCAGAAAATCACACCTAGAGATCAGCAGATAAAGTGTCACTGAAAAAGGTGGTGCATTAGTAAGCGCTCTTTATTCCATCATTCCGTGACTCAGGAAAATCCGGAAGTCGTTGCTAAGAGCAAACCTGTAAAACCTTAGGAACTCCCCAGGAGAGAGGTGTCTCCTCCGGGTCCCCGTGCAGCACGTGACTATGTGCAACCCCACATCCAGGCTCTAGCAAAAGCCCTGGCCAGGCCCGAGCCAGTACGTAAATATTTCTGGAAAGAATATACTCAACAGATGGAAGTTGAGTACTATTTTTACCATTGCTGATACGGCGAATGTAGAGACCGTGATAATTGATTATCTGGGACAACAGGAATCCACAGGAACTAGAATTTCGAGGATTAGGCTCTCCCGGAGGATTTCCTTCAAATTCAACTGAATTCTGCTTAGAAAAGGCATTAGAGGAGGTGGGAGAGGAGGGGCAGGCGCACAGGAATCCCATGCCCTTTTGGCAGCAGAGAGAAGCTCTGTGTGGAAGCGGAAGCTCCTTCCTCTGCTCCCATCTGCAGCAGCCTCCCCAGACAACAGCACGGGGAGGGATGAGAACTTGCTCTGTGCGTCTCGATGGGACACGGGACGGGAAGCAGAGCCACGTGGTTCAGCTTCGCACAGGCTTCTGTCCTACCAGCAACATTCAACTCATAACGTGTGTTTAATATGTCCGGGGGTAAATGTCAGGTATTTTATCTGTTTTAAAGGATATTTCTGGACATGAGGTGGCAAAGTGTGAGCAGATTAATATTCTATCACTTTGTATTGCTCTGTTGGTTACATTAGAGATTAGGTGTTGGGTATTATTAGTTAAATGGCACTAAAGTCCTGTAGATGAAATGATATAATTTTGTTGCAAAAGCCTTGTCCCATTTTAGTGAAAGGTTTGCATTAACAAGTGCCATTTTAATAAATCACTCTGTTCAGCCTGCCTAGTGACTTACACTATCATAAGATTCTGCCCTTAATATTAAAATATAAGCTCAGATTTCCTCTCCCCAGACTAAGGCAGAATGCAGAGAAAGACTTACGCTGAAGCTAGGAAGCCTCTTGTCTGGACTAAGATAATGTTTTTCTCTTTTCATATCCATGCAGAAAGTGTTGTGGAGAGGGGGAAACTCTACTGTAGGTTGTTCTTCCTCCTTCTAGTGAAAAAGAAGGCTTAAAGGAAAAAAAAAAAAAAAAAAAAGGCTTAAAATATGGGCTGTTTCCAGACCATTGGCATCTTCCACGAGCTTAGGCTGGCTTAACAGCAGATAAGAGCGCTTGTGTAGCCAGACAGAGGTGTCGTGATGCACTGATTAACGAGTGCACGTAGCCCTGACCGGCAGCCGCTGTGCTGTTCTCCGAGGGCTCCCTTCACACCCTGCTCCTTTCTCTTTCTTTCCTCCATTTTTTTTTCTTTTTTAACCCTTTTGCCATTTTCCTTCAAAGCTCTGTGGTGGAAAGCAGAACAGGAAGGGCCCCGGGAAAGTTGCCTGGCTCATCCCACCTCCCCAGGCCAGGAAGGCTCCGTGCCTGTCACTCCTGACAGGCCTTTGCCTGACCGGCCCTTAAGACCCTCCAGCGACGGGGCTGTGACAGCCTCCTTAGGCAATCCCCTCCAGTGCTTTGCTCTCCCGGTCATTAAGAAGGCTTTCCTGATATCCAGCCTGCAATTAAAGGCTGCCATTTCTCGTGTAACCCCTCAGCACCCTGGCCTCCCTCGCAGCGGCGCCCGCTGCACCGGGACGGCCGCAGGGGCCGTGGCGGGTGTTGGCAGCGCGCGAACCAGCTCTCCCGGGAGCGCTGCTGCCGCTGCCGGCACCGCGGGCCGCTGCGGTGGCCGCTCCGGGTGCTCCCATGGGCGCCAGCGCCGCCGCAGAGCGGCTCTGGGCTGCCAAAGCGGACTGTGCTCCCGGCCTCGCGTTGGGAGCTGCAGCGCGTCGCGAGAAGTCTCACCGTATAGATTGCATCTAGGCAGTCAATTATGTATAACACATTTTTTTGAAGAGAGGGTTTCTGTAACAATTTTAGCAGTTTAAAATCGTTTAAAAAATCAAGATCACAGGCTCGGCTTTGTTTTTTCAGCTGCTTCCCTTTAAACAATAGCAGGCGAATGGCATCCCATGGCAGTCGGGGCTGATCCCGTGCCAACCTGCCAGCAATGAACGGGAGATGCCGGGCACAGGAGCGAGGGTATGAGCTGCAGAGAGAGAGCGGGCGCCCATTGGGAGCGCCACGCTGGATGCCTCCCTGGAATGGCTCCGTGAAATGGAAATGCGTCCGCTCCCGCAGTCCGGCCAGCCTGGCGGCTGGGGTGCCTGCTCACCGCTGCGCCCCGTGGATGGGCAACGAGTCAGTCCCTCACTCAGTGGCCTAAAAAATATTGAATCGACAAGCTAAACTCTTACCACTTAAAAAAATATATACATTTATAACAGTGATGAACTTCACAAGAGCATTTCCTGCAATTTTTTTACCCTTGTAAGATGGTAGGAGTGCATTCATGCAGCCCGGGCAGTAGTCCAGTCTGCTGAGAAGAGGTAATTTTTCCAGTAAAAACTAGCTAGCAAAGCCAGGTGTACTTTTATTGCCCGAGTAAATGATAGCAAAGCGCAGGCAGGCTGGTTTGGAGACTAGCTATCCATGGCTTTTTTTTTTTTCCTCAAGGAATTTTTGGTGGTATCCGAAGTTGAGCAAAGCAAGGCTCAGATAAGCGGGACCCCCGGTACCCGGTTCTTTGTGCAAGGCGTGAGGGGCCCTGTTCTCTGGCCACGCAGCTCCACGAATGCGGTTTCTGTCCTCGGTGCCGTTGCTGCTCAGCAGACCAGTTTGAGGGGTGGGTGCGAGCCGAGGCGCGTGCGGTGCCGGCCTCTCGGGCCGGGTCTGCCCGTGCGCGGCCTTTTCAGGGCCTCCAGTCGCCAGCTGAGCTCTAGGTGGCTTGGAGCAACTCCAGCAATTTGGCCTCTTCTTCCTTCCCTTAGGGAATGCAAAGGACAAAAAGTGTTTTCAGAAAGAGGGAAGAAGTTTACAAAACACGCATCAAATCCAGATGAACTTCACATCCCACGCGGTGTGATGGGTGCATTTACTGTGCCGTGGAAGCTTGAGTTGCAAACTGATAATTGCAAGAATACAGCAGATTTCACCCATGCCTGAAATAAAAGTAATTTCAGGTGTTCTGGAAAGCCCTGCCCCTTCTTTGTGGTTCGCAGGAAAAATTTTAAACATTTTCCACCCTGCAGCTATGGAGGGCAGTGAAAGAAAACACACATAAGCTGCCACGAAATGCACATAATAAACTGCTCCTCCACGTCCTGCTACTTGTAATAATAAAGCACGGTAGGTGCTACGTGAGGCACACTTTCAGACACTCTTAAAAATGGTGATTTTCCGTGGTGGGTGAGCTTCGTTATCTCCACCTGGCAGAGGAGCAGAGGCGCAGGCTGAAGGCTGGCTGAGCCGGGGGCTTCAGGCAGGACACAGATGCTTTGGGTTTTCCTACCGAGCGCCTACCGATAGCAGGAAAGAAAGGGTCGCTTTCCTACAAGCCCGGTGCCACCCGCCGCTGCCCCTGCCACCCTTTCCCCACAAGGAGAGGCAGCGGCTCGGCTGAGCGGCACAAGGCCCCACGTGCCAGCGTCTCCCACAGGCACCAGCGGAGCCGGGAGCACGGCCGGAGCCGAGGCCGCCGGTGCCGTGCGGAGCAGCGACGCGATGCGACCGCCCCACGCAGCCCAAGCGCGGCCAGGGCCCCTCGGCGCGGCCCTCCCCGCTCCCCCTTCCCCTGCCCTGCTTCGCTGGGGCTCATGCAAATGCGCTGGCCAGGAGCCAGGATCTCATCATTTTAATGCAGTGTAAAATGGAATGCGCATAATGATATGCGAGCCATATGTGAGGGAGACGGCTCAGCTGCGAGTTGCGGGAGGCAGGGCGAGGGGGAGCGCGGACAGGCAGGGATCAGAGGAGACGGAGCGGAACAGAGTGCAAGTGTCACCCAAATGAACAGGGTAATGAGCGCCGAGCTGACACTCCTCCTCTCACCCGCTCTCCCCTTCTGCTTTAACTCTCAACCAGGAAAACGCTGCCGGTCGGAAGGAAAGCGCTATATGCAAGTGGCTAATGGGCTCTGTTAATGTCTCCATTTAAACTTCAGCTTTCTTAATTCACAGCGTAGCTCCAAATAACCAGTAACTTCTAATGCAGCCTCATAATTAAATATTTCTACCGCATTTGATTGAAGAATCGTTGTTCTTGCTAGATGATTGCTCCTTTCAAAGCCTCGCTTAAACATGGAGGGGGAATCCATTTATCTATAGCAGTGTTACGTGTACATTATGAGTATGCAAACTTTTTTTTCTTTTTTTTTTTTGGCCTTGCTGTTAAAATGAAAATACGAGTACATTATCTAGGGATTGCTTAAGCATGTCAAAAAGTTTAAAAGAGTACGTATGTAATGTAATCCTGAAAAATGCAATGAAGTAAATTGAAACCCTGAAGCTTTCCAGCTCAAATATTTCATTTTGGTTTTGTCTCTTGTTGTTCTAATTATTACACCGCAATGAATTTGCATGTTCAACCTAAGCTATGTAAGAAAAGAGCATCCCGAGTTCTCGTATCTAAGAGGTGTACTGAGTATTTAAAGAAACTTTTAAATAATGTTGTATTTTGGGATACCCTCTGTTTAAATGATCTGAGCTGTTATGCTTTTAGCTATTTTTTTTTCCTTCCATTATTTGTAAGTCCCTAAATAGGCCATTATATTTCCCTTCAGGCTAGAGATGAAGATGGACATGCTGAAAATTTTCCCCAGCAGCACTATGCTAAGGAAACTCCAAGACTTGCCTTCAAGAATAACTGCGAACTACTTGTAAGAATAACATACTTACAACAAGTCTAGTTTGTTACTTTAGCACAGTGAAAACCTTTCTTTTTTTTTTTTTCTTTTGAAAGGCTTTTGTTCATTATGACATACAGTATGAAATATTATAGTGATTCTTTCTTTTTTTTCTTTTCTTTTTTCCTGTGTAGAGTTCTAATGCTAGTTCTGGTGTTAGTGAACAATTTAAGATCACAAACTGTATGAAAACCTTTGATATTTGATTACAGAACGTGAATGGCCTTGTCTTGCTCTCTTGTCTTGCACAGTAAAATTGGAAGAAAAGCCACGTAGGGAGTGACTGGTAAAGCAATAGGGCCCCTACCCTCCTCAAAAGTGGCCCAAAAGGCCAAAGCCAGCATCCCAAGCACAGTTTAGCTTGAGGCTGTTCGGAGACACCAGCGCCGCGGTTCCTCCTGCTCCCTTCGGAGCTGAGCTGTTCCTCGCCTCTCCAGCCCGGTGCCGACAGGCGCGTTTTCCTCTCCTCTTCTGTGGGGAAAGAGCGAAAGCCAGGAAAGCTCTGACAGGGAGCCTGGAATGTTTACAAGCCGTAAGAGAGATGATATCAGCTGTGAAAGGATCTCTGTTCCAAGGCAGGGTTAATTTGCTGTTCATTTTAGCATTTGCAGCTAGGCAAGATTAAATGCAAGCAGGAATGCCTATTATATTTCTGTTAAATGAATCTGTTGAGGCCCCGCGTTCTTCATTAGCTTGAGAAAATGAGTGCTCCACAATGAATTTTACTGTTTATCTAAAGTAAACAGAGAATGGATTGCAGTGTATTTAAGAGATTCGCACATGTCTTTGGAAATGGAGTTTCCGATGAATTGGTAGGTCTCTCCCTCACGTTTGCTTTTCCGCATTGAAGTAAAATGTATCATTTGGCTAAACGGAAATATTTGTGGAGAATCGGAACACTCAGTTATATTTCAAAGCAACTTCCACCACTTTTTCCTGATTACACGCACTGGAGAGGGGCACGGAACAAGCCACGTTTCCTCCGCACAAAAAGCTGTTCTCGCCACCCCCATAGGAGACACGGGGCCACACGCATCCACACTGTCCCCAGTGCCCATCCACTGAACGAGGGTTTGAATTGATGTCAGTGAGCACAGAAACTGGCCCCTGAGGTTTGTGCCAAGGCAGCAGCCTGGAAGAGGAGCCCGGCGCTGCGGGGCGGTTGGGATGCGCTCGGCACAGGGAAACGCAGCCGGCTTTTTGCTGAGCCGGGCGCCGGGCTGGCACCCTCGTGCACCGCTGCTGCCTGCAGCAACTAGAGCAAAACACAGAGCGTTTCCACACTGCCAGGCCTCACCCAGCACCCGAGGAGCCCCTGCAGGCAGCCAGCGGCCGGGCAGGTAATTATAAGGATTTCAGGGCAATCAGAGCTACTCATGTCACTCAGAAGGGCTGGTTCATTCCCAGTGTGATTCCGCCAAACAAAAACCCAATCGCAGCCTGTGGAATTGATCCAGCTTCCTCTTAAATCCCTCGCAAAGTTCCTGTTGATTTCGGGGGCAGCGGGGTTAAGTCCCGGGGGGAAGAAACCAAGCGGACGCGTAAAGCGATTCCCCAGTGTAGTCACTGTTACTGTGCCAAATAAGAGAGGCTCTTTCTCCAAGGCCATGCCCAGTTACTGTGCCACTGGTCAGGTCAGGTCTGATAAACCCCCACAAACCGCCCGGGATCCCCCAGGGTCAGCAGGATTTTGTGTATTGCAGGAGTTTGGCACTAGAGTCTTGAGACAACACGAGGACACGTACATACAATAAGTATTGTTTCCATCAAAAATCGGCTTTATTTGAAGTACAAGGAATCAATGGACCCATTAACTCCCTTTGTGCTATTAAAATCAAGCATTCTTTTAATGCCCTGTTAATTATTCTTTCACCCGATATGCATTTAAGTTACTGCTTTATTATATCACTTCTACACCTGGCAAAAGCTCAAGCCATCCGAGTTAGTCTTTCATGTGCTTTTTGGACAAGTTTCAGTTCTTATTTAAGGAAGTAATAAAAGTAATTTGTCATAGCTTTATTTTTCCTGTGCTATTGGAAACAAAATTGGCAGGGATGTAGTGTGTACTTAATTTGTATTTGAAAAAAAAAAAGTAGACAAATTATGAATATATAAATCTGCTATTTTTCAAGATGTATTAGATGTATTAGTAACTTTCTGTGAAAAGACTATGCTGACGAGGCCTTGGCTAATGGGAGAACTAGTGTTATTATTTGTCTAAGATGCTGCATGTTTTCCAGATAGGTACTGCTTTTCCATGTAAATTTTCACATTTTCAGAAATTTTAACCTTTTCAGAAAAAAAAGCTGTATTAACATGTGCTTGAGAGTAAAGTGAAGTGGTCAAGGAGACAGCATCTTCATTCGAAATGCTAGTCAGTTTTCCTCTGTTTGTGCCAGAAATCGTGTCCCTGTGAGGGGAGAAGGAAGAAAAACATGGAAGAAAAGAGCAGGGGCTGCATCCTGCATCTCCCTGATTTTTCTTTTTTCTCCCAGTGGAGAAAACTCACCCAGACACTAACAGCGCAAGGCAGATGTTGGCTTCTCGCTTTCTGAAAAGGAGTGAAAAGTTAAGATTTTCAGATGAAAGAGAAACTCAGGCTTGTTTATTCCTTTGGGAACCCTTGGAGCTCTCCTGAGCAGTTTGGAGTCCGTTGGGCAGCAGCTTCAGGGAGAGGACGGGGCCGCGGGCGCTGTAGAGCGCGCCGGCCGCCATTTTGTGGCAGGGAGCAGAACCTGTTCCCTCACCAGTTGCGCCCGCTCCACAGCACCCGCTGCCCCGGGAGCAGGCGCTCTGCAGACACTGGGACCGCTCCGATGTATCGGGAATATTTTTTTTTTGAAAGGAAACAGCAAGGAAGAGCGACCGTTCAGGCAAAATAACCCCCCGAGCGCTTAAGGCAGTTCTGCGCGTTAGGAAAAGCAGTGACAATGAAAGATTCTGGTTGATACAGAAACCCGTTTTGCGGTTGCGGAATTAGGTGAGGGGTTTTATTTCCCGCTTTAAATCTGGCTATGTGGTGTGTCATGATGTTTCTTGTAATGCACAGGAAACAGAGAGGTTAAGAAAGCTTTTGGTCAGTGAAGATAGAAAATTTTCCTTGTGAGCTTTCCAGTTGTTTTGAGAGTCATGCTTTCTTTTTTAAGGTTAGTTGCCCGTGATAAATATTGGGAACTACATATGCAAACTTATTTTTGAAGAGTTAGGCCAGCATGGTGGCTTGGCCAGCCAGGCACTCCACTACCACGGACCCTGCCTCAGGATTTTAATTTCTTATTCCATTGGTGGCTGGAAGCTTTTCTTTTAGGCACCTCTCTTTGTTTCCACAAGGAAAAGGCAGAATTCAGAGCTCTGGAAGCTGATTGTAAAGGAACAGTGCGGTCCAACTAATAGTGGATGTGGGGAGAGAGATGGGATTAACTGGTGAAAAAGGGTAGGCTAGAATGAAAAGGCCAGTGAAAAGCCTGCAACCCCTGCTCTAGCCAGCTGAAATTCCTGAGCCATTGCCTAGAGAAAGGGAAAATCCATCTGGCACCTACCCAGGTTAGTCAGGGTAGGAAGAGCCATGCTTGGATGCCTTTTAACAAAAGTAGGAAAGAAAACCCAGCAATTCGTCCTCCTCCTCCCCCTGCAAGTTGCCCAGAATATTGAGTCAGGGTTTCAGACTGGCCTGCTGCTCTCTGAGCAAGGGAGGGTTTCATGGGTTAAGGAAATGAAATGCCAGGTTGCTTTCCAGATCATTTGTTTATGGAGATGATATGAGTACCACCCAGTGCTATGGGATTAGATGTAAAGCACACAAATAAGCAAACAAAACATAAACACCCTGAAAAAACGTTCAGCTCCAGTTCCACACCCAGCTGAGATCCACAGTTTTCCCGGAGTAAAGTCACGATCTTTTTCTCTTTGAAATTAAAAGCCTGTTCCTATTAGTTCTGCTCTCAGAGGATAAATTCATGACTCCAGTATGCAGTGAGTTCTTATCAGGTAGAATTGATGTTTAGAAGCTGTTACATAAAAGGCACAAAATAAAGCACATTTTTTTTAATTGGATTTAATGCAAAACTCACTTACAGCCAGATATCTTTAATCACTAACACAGAAAAAGAAAGCTTTAAAAACACATCCAAAATGAATATAAATGAAACATAAAAAGCAGGAGAATCCCCTGGGAGTGCAAGGCATTTCTGGCCAGCACAGGGCAGCAGGAGGGCTGAGGCTCAGCCCCATCCCAGCACTAGGGGCCGGGTCAGCAAGGGGGGTGCCTCCAAACCGCAGAAAGGACAAAGTGGATTAACCTGGGCTTCGTACTGCATGGAAACCAAAAAGGCATCAAACTGGGAAGGCTGTTTGTGAGAAGGCAGTGGGAACACCTGCGATACAAGAGTGCAGTATCCTTTGCAGTGCACAATCAAGCTAAATATCAACAGACGTGCTGGCATTCTTTGGGGGCCGTGAGGGTTTGGTTCTCAGAATGCAAGGTTTGGTCATTTTTGCCGTTTTCTGACCTGGTTCCTGTGCTCCAGTGTAAAGGAAAAATTACAGAGAGCCTGGGTTTTGAAGGGCAGTAGGTGTCAGGGCACTTAGGGGCACAGTGCCCCGAAGGCAGGGGTGCTCAGCCTGTCGATGCCCTTCCTGCCTGCCCGCGCCTCCCGCTCCAAGTGCCGAGGAAAAGCAGAGGCCCTTTCCCTTGGCAACTCCCGCCCACCCGGCTTCTCCTTCACACTTTTAGGTTCAAGCCAGCAGAGGGAGAGGGAGAGCGGCTCCTCAGCCCCGTCCCAGGACACAAGAGCCCTTTCCCCCGGGTTTCGGAAGGGCATTGCCAAGAGCAGCTCTGGGGCCCTGCGCCTCTCCTGGCCTTTAAGGCATGACCTGCTGCGGGGCAAGGGGCAGCACGGCCGCCATGTGGTGATGGGTGGGAGAAGGTCTCCAAGCCTGCTGGAGCTCCAGCCACCACGGCTGCACCTCCTGTT